AGTATTCTAACATAGGTCCGTCTAAAAGATGCGTTACAAAGTGCGTAACAAACGGGATTTATTGTGCTATTTATATAGCAAAGATAATAAAAAAAATCCCAAAGTTGTTGGGGTATGCATGCATAACCCGTCGTCACGGGTTTCAATAAAACGAGTACGTTGTAGGGCGTCCATGTTATTATAAATGAAAGAAGAATGGCAGTCAGTGTTTTGGCCGCTTTTTTATCTTGTTTTTTCTCCTGCGTTTTTTTCTTTTTTTTCTGATGATGTTTAACAATGGGTGCGGTGTTAACAACGTGTAATTTTGAATTACTCGCACCACCGGATTTTCCAATATTTTTATTTAAATTGGTCGATATTTTAACATCCGGCATTTGCGATAAACGTCTACCGTGTCCCGATGCCGGACTCGTTGGAAATCCAACCGTACAATCTGGTGTCATGCTCGTCGAACTATCAACTCTACCACCCAGTCGAGGAGGAATGCCTGCGAAAATGTACATTTTCCCATAATTGAATTCTTTTTTTTTTAAAATTAATATAAAAAATTTTGTTTTATATCAATCCAAACCTGCATTACTCTTGATTGGCAGTGGATTTTCATTTTCTATCATTTTTATGGAGGGACCGTCCGCTGGTCCGTTACCATTACATCCAGCAGAATCTGAAGGAAGACGGATCAATATCGTGTACACCTATAATAACACAAAAAATTTTCTTTTCTATTTCACATTTTCCTGGTAAAAACTATTTTCGAACATCAAAAACTAAAAAAAAAAGAGAAAGAGAGAGAGAGACAGGATGTTGAAAATAATGGAGGATGAAAACAATAGAAACGTTTCTGACGGGAATTGAGTCTCGATAAGACATTTTCATTTAAAACATATCTTTTACTTGAAATGAAGAGGGAGAAAAAAAAACCGTCTGCTACTATCTCACATCCTTTTTCATCCTCTTTTTTTTTTCATCTTTCTCTCTTTTCAAATTTTACTTTTTTTTTTTTTTTTTCTAAATGATTTGACACCTTTTGGGGGGATGGGGGGGAGAAACAGGTTATTTTAGTCGTTCTATACAAATTTCTAACGTGATAATAAAATCTTAAAAAATTTTCATTTCAATCATATATTTTTTTTTATGTTAAGTTGGCTGCACTGTTGTCGTAAAACAAAAAAAAAGGGAAAATTATAATTTCCAAGTAAAACCAAACAGGTAAAAAATAAATTCTTTTTTCTGTTGGTGGGAGAAAAAAAAGTCGTGGCACCAAAAAACTTTCCGGTTTTTATGTCTTTTCTCTCTCTCTCTCTCTCTCTCTCTTTCTCTCTCTCTTTGTATGATTCACTTAACTGATTTTTTTTCTTTCTTTTTTTTTATGTTTAAAAATAAATTTTACGTAAAGTGCAATTTTTTTTTTTTTTTTTGAATTTTCAAAAGGGCAACTTGGAAAAAAAAGAAAAAAAGGAAAGAAAAAAAGAAAAAAGGAAAGAAAGGAGCAAAGGTGCAAAGATTAAAGTTAATGGAGTTGAAAAAAAAAAAAATGAATCAAAATTATTATAAAAAAAAAAAAAAAAGAAGATGGTAAATGTTCTAGAACTTTAAAGAGAAAGGAAGAAGAAAAAAGGAAAAAAAATTTTTTTTTTATTTGGCATCCATTTAATCTTATTCATCATCGTTTCTTTTTTTTCTTACTTCCTCTTTCCCCCCTCCCCCTTCAAAATTTTCCAAAATACAATCGACCATTTTTTTAAAATCAACAATGACGTCATAAATCGATTACAAAATTTTTCTTTATGTGAAAATACATCTTGATTAATAATAAAAAAAAAAACGAACGGAAATTTTTTTTTTTAATACTTTTGAAATATTTTTATGTAAAATAAATTTTTTTTCGCAATTCGACAGAACGAAAAAGTAAATCGATATTTAAAAAAAAAAGAAAAAATTCAACGGAATCAGCCTGGAGAAAAAGGAAAAAAAGGGGAAAAAAAGAAAAAAGAAAAGAGAATAAAAAAAAAAAAAATTTACACTTAAAAAAAAAAATAAAAATGAAAACTTTTTTTCTTTTTTTTAAGGTTCGAATTTCTTTTTTGTGTTTGTGTTTATGATTTGTGTTCTGTGTTTTGTGTTAAATGTGTGCGCGTGTACGATTGAAAATCTAAAACCACGTTTTTTCCGGTCAAAATATCTGCTGAATTTTAAAAAAAAAAAAAAAATTCGATTTGATTTTTTTCCCTTTTCTTTTTTTTCACTCTCCCCGGGAAAGTGGGAGGGAGAACGGAGGGGCGTTTTACGTATTTATATTAACTGAGAAAAAAACTATTTTAGATATTTTATTTTGTTTTTATTGCTTCGAAATTTTCTTTAAGGAGAAAACGCATTTTTTCGGGGAGAAGTCGGAATAAAATTTAGTGAGAAAAAATGCCAAGAAGTTGGTAAACAATAAAAATATTTCTTATCACTTTGTTTTTTATTTTGTTTTTATTTTTTAAATCAATAATAAAACTTATTATTATTATTGTTTCGATTTGTATCAGTGTAGCCAACGTGAAAAATTTCTTTCATGAAAAATCCCCGTCGATTTTCAACAAAAAATTAAAATTTTTCCGCGTTTTTCTGCGAATA